TTGAAGAAAATCAGGTGGAAATGATCAATACAGCACAAACTGAAGTACAATCATTAGTGATAATAGCATATAATCCTTGAAAAGAAAGGTAGGCCTTATTGATTAAAAGAGATTCTGATAATTAATGCTTTTTCTACACTGCATTGTTTCAAAAAAAAGAATCTGAAATCAAACTTGCATGACTCCGATAAAGCATCCTATTACGAGTGGTTCAGAGTGAGCCAAATATGTGCTACTAATATAAATGTTTAGGGTGATTGTTTTCTTTTAGCAAAGTAAGTCAAAAAGGGCATCATATGGAGCACACTGGAATCCATAGGAGACTTTGAAACATTTCCTTCCATAAAGAAGAAACACAACATCTCTAACTGATTTTATGAAAGTTTCTGTGATGATTTTTGCCATGAACATTTTAGGAGTAACAATATTCATGTAAAAAAATATTATTTAAAGTGAATTTTTTTTTTTTTTACTTTCTAGATTTTCACTGAGGTCAAACTGCTCATAACAGTGTGATAACAAACTGTTCGTAACTGCTCATAACCTGCATGGTAATAGGCTATTTTCGCATATCAGTTTTAAGTTTTTAAACAATATTTTAAAAGCCATAATTAAAAATACCTTTCACACAAAATCAAAAAGCCTGTTCTACTATTAGTGCTCATCTTCCTTTGTCCTCTTCAACTCACGGAAAACAGTACCACTGTAAGCAGCAGAATGTAAAAACTACTAAAAGTCTTTCAAGTATGTTACTGTACTCATTCAATACTCTGGACAACAGTTTTATTTAATTTGTGTTTTCTAAATTTTGCTTTAAATAGTTGTTGCACAGTAAATATTAAATGTCCCTGTAGAAATGTATGGTTCTTAGACTCCATTTTGTAATTTTTGATCTCGCTAGACAAATCCTGTTCTAACAGTTTAAATCCTCTGATGCAGCCATGCTATGCCATGTTATTACTGTCTAAGACTTTCTGACTAGGAATGTCCAGCCTACTCAGCCAACTAGTGACCTGTGGGTATGTGATGAATATTATAAATTTATCTTAAATGTGTGCAACAGGAGGTGAGTATTGATGGAGCAACATATAAATAAATGCATACACAGCGTGAAAGCCTCACAAAACTATCTGCATCCTACATCTTACTATTAATCAGCAATGTGTCATAAATTGTTGTTTAAAGAGACATCTATTACAGTAAATCCCCTGTTAAGATATCCCTGTTGTTTTGAGATCTGAAATCAGGAAAACATAAATAAATAAATCAGTTGCTGAATACTGAGATGCTGGCACCCAGTGAGCTGTAAGAATTTGTGACAAAGTAGACCAATGCTACATTTCTAGCATATTAAAAAATCCCTACTAAAATTATTTTAAACTGCCTGAAAAAAGATATACAGGATTAAGCCTGGAACTCCAAATGCCAAGATTTAATTAATAAGAATATTCTCTCTCTTATTTTTTTCTGTTGGATGAAAGTAAGAGGACGAAATAATTATTTTCATTGTTTTATAAGGGCCCCTGTCAGATATGGCAGTAAAACACAGGGGAAATCTCTCTCTCAGCTTCTGTCTAAGTAACTATTATGAAAACCCACAATAATATCATGGCTTTGTAATGGACACAATAAGAAAAGACCTTTTTGTATTCTTATTGTCATTCACAAAATTGTACAGATTGACTACATGCAAAGGTTTTACGAGTCCACTAAAGTTGGAACTAGGCTCTGTCTTATTGAGAGAAACTTCACGAGATGCTGCAGTCACAGCACTGAAGATGAAGCGGACAAATTCCCCTGAGCCCTTAAATTCAGGACCCTGCCATTGTGTTCACTGAGATCTGTTTGCTAGTGCTTTGATCCAGGCTAAGCACCCTAGATGTAAGGCTACGGAAAAGGAGCAAGATACAATGAAACTGGGTCTTAGTGAAAACGTGGCGATTTTCAATATTGCTTTAATCAGTGACACCAAAGATGATCTGCCTGCGGAAGAAATGCTGATTAAACCACGTATTTCCAAAACTTTTTATTAAAAAAAAGAATAGTTACAGCTTTCTTTTTTGACCTAGTTCCTATTTTTTGTTCAACACCTCAGCACTTTTAGAAACACAATCATCCATTGTATACTCATCACATCTTTTGTAAAATGCAACACTTTTTTAAAAAAGGAAAAATACTGACTTTCATCCATTTTCCTAAACCATTTATCATATTCGAAACTGTAAAAATCCTCAGAGGTTCAAAAAAGAAACAGTAGGCTTTAATCTAAACGCTCTCTATTTACATTAGGGTTCTAAAATATGACTGGAAGTAGTTTTGGGAAAAGATTTTGCACTTCATACAGTTAAGCTTGATGAAAGTAAATCCAAAGGGTGGGATGGCAGTACAGTAGTACTGTAGAAAGCTGTCAGGTCTTTGCAATTCTTTTCTGAATGCCATTGCTAGGCAATGTCAGTACCAAACCTCAAAGTAATACACGAGTTCATAAAACACAATCTTACCAAGTCACAGAATCACAGAATCACAGAATAGTAGGGGTTGGAAGGGACCTCTGTGGGTCATCTAGTCCAACCCCCCCACATAAGCAGGCATTCTCAATGTTAGGCAAACTCCATTCCCCTTAAAACTCAGCTTACACTGACAAAACTGTACTTCCAGTTGCTGCTACGAACCCTAACAAGAAGAAACCATTCTGTTGGTTACTGGTCAACCTTGGTTTTGCTACCTGTGCCGATCTAACGTGAACCAGAATGCCTGTGAAAACAAGGTCTGCGTTTCTTGCCTAAATGTTTGCTGACACAAGCTACGAACTGCACTGTTTGTGGCAGGAATACGCTACATTTTGATCCCTCAACAAAGCCTCCAACTGCACCACGAACCAGCTTTATACATACAAACACACTGACCGACGTGCTTGATAAACCTACAGAAAAGAAAGCCTCAACACACCTCTCCTGCATATTTTTAGCCTTCTGAGGAAAGGGGGAAAGCGCTTTAGAACTGAGTGGAGGACAAAGAGCATACTGCTAGTGAGAAGTACCGCGAGGCCTGATTTGCCAACTGATTGTAACTTCTCATAGCAACCTGACGAACAATTTCCAACTGTATTAAAGTAATTAAACACTGAAATAATTGTGTTACTGTTAAAATTCTCAGCAACACAAAAAAACTATCCTCTAAGTACAGTGAAAAAAAATAAAGAAGGAAACCTTCCACCTACCAAACAAAACTTCCCCCC